GCCCTTTGCTTCTATCACTCCGTCATCGGACGAACTGTGTGCTTTTCCAGCAGATCAGATTTGAATTCAGATTAATTCGGAAGTTCGGCTACACGCCCTTGAACAAGATTCCAAAGGCTCGTGAGGCCAATGGAGAGTGTGGGTAAAAAAAGCGTAGGGTTTAGGGTGGTTTTCTTGGGTGGGAGGTGCTCGTGCCGAAGCCACGGTCTGATAGAGGGCTTGTCAGTTGAGGTTTAGCACACTACTTGGAGGGTCGGGGGACTTAGCAAGTAGTTATTACTGTAGACTTAGAAGTACCATAACCCCAACTAGGATCCCGTTTAGGGCACTTATAACTCTACTTATTACCTGCTTACTAAGTCCCCTGACCCTCCAAGTACACACTAAACCCTAATCACCCTAAACCCAAATCACCCTAAACCCTAAACCCTAAACCGTAACCCAAATCCTTAAATCCTAAATAAACTCCAAGCTGCCTCCACCGTCCGACAACCCTAAAACCCTAAAGCCCTAAACCCTAAAACCCTAAACCCTAAAACCCTAAAGCCCTTTAAAAGCCCTAAAACCCTAAACCCTAAAAGCCCTAAGATGCTAAACCCTAACACCCTAAAGCCCCAAAGGCCCTAAAACTCCAAAACGTAAGGCCTCAAGAGACCGAATTCTCTGCTGTCGGAGGCTGGGCAGAAGGTCGGCTTCCACAAGGAGATGTTCTGGAGGGCCTGTAGGGTTGCAGGTTTAGGGTTTAGGGTTGTGGGGTTTGGGGCTTAGGGTTTCGGGTTTCGGGTTGTAGGGTTTAGGCATTGGGGTTTAGGGTTTCGGGTTGCGGGTTTAGGGTTTCGGGTTTCGGGTTTCGGGTTGTGGGGTTTAGGGTTTAAGGCTTGGGGGGTTTGGGGTTTAGGGTTTCGGGTTTAGGGGCATTTTGTGGGGTTTGGGGTGTAGGTTGGTGAGGTTTGGGGTTTACGGTTTTGTGGGTTTAGGGTTTCGGGTTTAGGGTTGTGGGGTTTGGGGTTTAGGGTTTAGGGTTCAGGGTTTAGTTTCGGGTTTAGGGTTTAGAGTTTCGGGTTTAGGGCTTCGGGTTTAGAGTTTCGGGTTTAGGGTTTCGAGTTTAGGGTTTAGTTTTGGGTTTAGGGTTTTGGGGTTTGGGTTTAGGGTTTGGAGGGTAGGGTTTAGGGTTTAGGGTTTAGAGGTTGTGCCTTCGACTCCTCAGAGGACCCCTCAAAGGAACCCTCGAAGCATGAAAGGAACCCTTGCAGCCGCGAAGCTTGTGCCATGTGTGCCTAGCTCCACTTCCTTCAAGTTCAACTCGAAGCCCCAAACCCTAGACCCTAACCCCTAAACCCTTAAACCCTTAAGCCCTAAACCCTAAATCCCTAAACCGTAAACCCTAAGCCCTCAGGCCCAAGCCCTAAACCCTAATCTCTAAACCCCAAACCCTGCGGCTTCGGTCTTCGAGGCTCAGGATTTTAAGTCAGGGCCTTTGGGGCGGAGGTCTTCGGATGATTGGGTTAAGGGCTCTGATAAGCCTAGAGACACCCGATAAATAAACAAAAACACGAGTATCTGTGGAGAACCTTGCTCTGAACTTTATCTGTGCCCGTGCAGCCCAGGGAGCCAAGACCAAGCAGCGCAACCCGGCCGCCGTGTGGGGCAACTGCGGTTGCCCCATAGGCAAGGTGTGCGCTCGCTGCTACTTGCTCCAGCATGGTTGATACATGGCCCGAGCAAAGCGGCGGCAGCACGGCCTGAGGCGGACCTGCATGAAAGATCATGATTGAATGAGGACTGACATCTGCCCCCCCGCCACGTCATCGAACAGAGACGTGAAGATGAAGAAAATATACCAGGAAAAGCAAGTGAAGGCTAAGCTAGGAACCGCAAAGGTCCTAGCTTGGGCCCTTAAAGAAAATTGAAGAAAGCGAATGGTCGCCTGAACCCGACCAGGCCGGGCGCCCTAAACCATGACGCCGATGGTGACGGCGACGACTTGTTCCTTGTGAGCGGCTTGGATCTCAACGACGGTTATGATCTTACAGACATGCTGCTCCTTTAGGGTTTAGGGTTTAGGAGTCAGCTTTTAGGGTTTAGGGTTTAGGATTTATGGTCTACTGTTTAGGGCTGGGGAGTTGAAGATCTGTAGAAGGCTAAGAGCTTCCGGGGTTCGGCGGTTCAAGGCTACGGGTAGGGTTTGGGGTTTAGGGTTTAGGGTTTAGGGTTTAGGGTTTAGGGTTTAGGGTTTAGGGTTTAGGGTTTGCGGTTAGCTCCTGAAGCAGCACTAAAGACCCCCAAGCCCTAAACCCTTAGCATCAAGTGAACCGCAAGATACAAGGACCCTTCCACTTCGAATGAACATACGAGTCCATGAACTTCTGGCGATTCTGGCCCTTGGCTACCAAAGGGCGCAGGGGATTAGGTAAGTAGGTCTATACTTGTGGTTATAATTCCCCACCTAATATAGTGGCTTAATATTTTAGTATACCCTTGTTTACAAGTTATTTGCTGAGTCCCTTGAGCCTTGAAATTCCCCCTAAACCCTAAGCCCTAAACCCTAATCCCCCAAACCCTAAACCCCTAAACCCTAAACCCTAAACCCCAAACCCCTAAAGCCCTAAACCCTAAACCGCTTACTTACATGAAACCCCGAGCGTCGACGAAATAGCTCTGGGCCCTGGCCTAAGCTCGGAAGGAGCTTCTTGGCGTGGCGCCAGCAGTTCTGAGGACTCAGCGCTTTGGGTTTAGGGTTTAGGTGTTTTTTAGGGTTTTGGGTTTAGAGTTTATGTTTTTGTTTGTTTTTGCGTGGCTTCTTGGGTGGGTTTGTTGGGGTTTGTTTTTTAGCGGGGGTGGTTCTGCGTGTTTGTTTTGTTTTGTTGGTGTTGTTGGTGTTTTGTGTTTTATTGTTTTTGAGCTGCTGCATGTCTTATTGTTTCATGTCGGGAAAGCTGAATCGTAGGACAAAGCTACCCTTGTTTTTAAGTCTTCTGTGGACCCCGGATTAGATGTTTGGATTATAAACGGACCCTCTCACGAGGATTTCGGAGAATCTCAGGACTCTGCTTGGGCTGTCAAGCATCCTATGGCAGGTGTTCAGGGTTTGGGGGTTTTAGGGTTTAGGGGTTTAGGGTTTAGGGTCTAGGGATTCACAACGGTTTGCTTATTGTTTTCACGTGCGAGTTTCCCGCACTGTCGTTCCTTAAGCCCATACAGTTCAAGACCATCTCCCTAAACCCTGATATAGGAGCCTCAATAGTTACCTATATTATTTTCGGGTTCCTTATTGTAATTATACTATAATGGGCCCCAAAACCTTCTTCTAATTCTTATAATATTCAGGCCCCTATATTACGCTTTCTGCTTCCAGGAAGGAGCTTGCGCGCCGACGGACTTTTGACCAGCTAGTGGTCAAGCCTCTTGCCGAAGACGTGGAAGCTTCAACTCTGGGTACCCTACTTGGAGGGTCGGGGGACTTAGTAAGTAGATATTAAGTAGAGTTATAAGTATCCTAAAAAGGATCCTGACCGGGGTTATGGTACTTATAAGTCTATAATAATAACTAGTTACTAAGTCCTCCGACCCTCCAAGTAAACCCTAAACCCGGTATTCTTACTGGGGCTTAGTGTCTAGGAATCCGGGTGGCCTTAAACCCTAAACTCCAGCACCTTTTTATAGTTTTATGAAGGGACTCCCTATAGCCCGCCGTCCCCCAAAAGTGCTCGTAACTCTTTGACCCTCCATGAAAACTCCCCAGTATGAAGATCTTACGGAATTTCAAGCAGCTCTTTGTTCAAAGGACACACCCGTGACCCCAAACCCTACAAAATAGTAGGTTATGACCCCTTAATTAGAGGGTAGAACCCTTAAAACGGTAGGTCTTTGGATGCCCAGGTAAAGCCCAAAACCTGTAACCCCGAACCAATTTAAATGCTCCTACATTTAGATCGGCCATTCTCTGCAAAGACTCAGTAAGCGAACTGGGTTCTGGAGTAGCATACTTGAAGGCTTTTTTGGGTATGTGTTCCTTGAAAGAAATATTATGAAAACAAGTTGCTGCTTGTCTCTCCTTAAACCAAAGGTTGATGCTTGTCTCTCCTTAAATCAAAACCCCAAACCCTAAACCCTGAACCGTAAACCCTATAAACCC